CAGCGGAGACACGCATGGGTTTGAATCAGACAGTAAATCGAAATCCACCCCACATGCCGTTAAATTGATTTTGATAAAATGATATTGGGTCAGTTGTCCAACAGTAAACGGCTTTGTCTGTTTTCACTCTTGGTAATTTATACGCCGCGGTTAAATTGGGAGACACGGCAGAAAAGTAATAATTAATAATTGACTAAAGTAGGCTCCCATCTGTTTTATAATAAACCAGTTATAAAAAGGAGGTGCCGAAGAGTAGGCAGGCGGTTGTTGATATTTAATGGACTTGGTTAAAGTTAATCGCCAAGTTTTTTCATAAGGTCTTTTTAAAAACTGCTTACCTTTTGTTGGCTAACGTTTTGGCTTTGGCTTGCACTTGACGGTCGAATTCTTCTTTGCTCGTAGTTTTATTTTCTTGTAAATTGGTCGTTGTGTTTGCGCAAATCTTTTCCTTTAACTCTTTAAATTTCCTAAGTTCGGACAAAATTAGTACGAATTCTTCTTTTGGTTTTTTGCCGTCAACCTGTGACTGGCGTACTTTAACATCGCGTAAGCACCAAATGCACCGATGGCTATGCCTTCCATCACTAGTCCTCCGTATTCCATGTAATCTAGCGCGGTTAATAGCCGTTTGATTGTTTTGCAAGAAGTTATTCTGGGGTCGCGTTCTCGTAAGATTTGTCCGCGGATGTTTTTCGATTGTTTGAAGGCGGTAAAATTTGACAGCGTTTGCCTCGGAACTGTTTGGATACCAACTCAAGTCTGGATACATATTCGACTCTACGTTTGTTGTCATCTCATTTTTTATTACATACCGTTTCAAAAAGGTCTAGCTCGAATAAAATTGTGCTGTCTTTATTGTTGATAACTTCTCCTCGCTCTTTTCCTCATGAAAATTCAAAATTCGCTATTTGCCTGTTTACAAATAGTTTAGCAGTAGTTTTACTATGGTCTAATGCACAACACAATACGTATGAAAGTTGCCCAGTAAAATAATTAAAATGGTCATTTCTCGAGTGTATCCAAAGCTGCTTGAAAGGGTTTGTGTTTATTTTTCCCTTGTAAATAACATTTGGAACGAGCCTACCTCTTGGTAAATTTAATAGCCTACCGACTTCTTGGCCTAACCGGAATTTGAGATTTAAATCTCTTATCACAGTTTGAGTCACGATGTACTTTAAAACTCACACCGGGTATAGCGTTTAAAATAAAATCGAACCAATCCACGTTATAAAACCCCGGTGGAATAGTTACACTGCCATGTTCGCCACCTTGCAAAAAATCACCGGGCGATGCTCTCTTGTGTAACCGATGCATCACCGGGGCGTTAGAACTAGAACCCATAACAAGCAGAGCGTCTCTGGGTTCAGTTTGTGCGGCTCTAATAGTTCTCGTTCTTTCTTCATTGTCGTCGCCTAAAAACCCTTCTTGAATAAACTCCAAAGCGATGCGGCGGACTTCCATATAAATATCAGCCTTTTCTCGAGACAAAAGCGCTACATATATAAATTCGTTATAAATGACACTCACACTTTTACAAAAGTTTTCTTGTTCGTTGAGATAAGTTATTTTTTGGTCAATTGAGGCGCTGTATTCATCTAGATTTCCTGCCTCGTTAGCTTGAAGATAATCTCTTGCAACGTCATAAAACAAAACCGAGCTGTCTGCCTCTAATTCTGACAACGGTATTGTGAATTTAATTCTTTGACTGTCTAAAATACGCGTATCCAAATATGCGTCCTTCAGCAGGACTTGCTTCGACTAGAGTTTGCCATTCAATTTTAGTGGATTTTGTAATGTTGAAATATCCGGAGTGAAAGCTTACTTTTTGACTTCACCTTTTGTGCCATCGATGACATTTTCTAATTTAAACGTCTGCTCACTTTTGGTTAAATAAAAAGAATGCGTTTCTATATGATTCGGCATATTTGTCTTAAAGTCGTAATGCCCTCGTCACCCCAACTCGTTTGCAACTGTTGATAATACACGCTATTGTTTTTACACACTTGACATTTTTGCAATTGCGTCGTATCGCGTACATTTCATTTATTTCGAGGGCAAATGGCCAAGCCCAATTTTTCGTAATTTCTTTTTACAGTGTCGATGGAATTAGAAATATATTCAACGCCATTTTTTTGGCAGTACTTTCACATTTTAATTGTACACTCATTTATAACTTAATTAGCGTTTTCTGAAAAGTTTCTCAATAAAACTTTGACAAGTCATCGGTAAAGTGTTTCTCCGAGACTTGAAACAGGTCTTTTACATTTTCTGCAGTTTTTTTCGTTACGTCTTGATAAAAGACGGCAATTAAAACCCCGAGTGGTTTGCCTCTGGAAATCTTGCCTGCTAAAACTTGGTTTAATCTGTTTTCTATGAGACCTGCTTGTTCTGTAGTTAATTTGACGTCTAATTCTTTAAATATTTTGCTCGTTTAGATTTAGGCTTTTATAGATAAAACAATGGTTGTATTTGCCACTTACGTTTTCTGCTTCAAAGTCTGAATAAGGGGACAATTTTCTAAAACAATCGAGCCAGTCTACAAATCCGTTTGCTTTTCTTTTATTGACGTGCGGACATGAGTCCTCGGTTTTTACATGGACTGGTTTTTGACCAAACAAAACAAACAAATCTCGTTCATCTGATGGTAAATAATCATTCAATAAAATTAGCCCTAGTTTCCGTCAATGTCGTTAAGTTAATTCATCAGTTATTCATCAGTTAGTTCATCAGTTAATTCATAAGTTTAATCTTGAATTTCACAGGTGTATCCGATTCTGATGCAAAAATCTACTTCTTTATCGTCAAATCCTCTAAATGCTTGCAATGCCGATTTATTCGAAATATTACCGTCATTTCTAATTTTCAACATAGCAGTTGATACCGTCTACCTAACACATGAACCACAAGACAGCAAACCGTGAGTTCCGTAATATACGTCTTTGGGATAAATAAATGATTGCACATCCCATCGTTTGTTTGTAAATTTCTCAACATTTGACGATGTAACGGGTCTCTTCGGGTGGTTCTCTTCCGGTGGTCAAATAGCGACGCATAAGAATCTATTTTAACGTATATGCAGTTCTTGTCTGTGTACCCTGGTTTAACCACATATGCAACTTTGCCCGATTTGTCTAAGTAGTCTAAATCGCGACTGGTTTTGTGAGAGTTGGTGGTGATCGACGGTACTTTCGACTTTACAGCAGCTTGCGTTTCGATAAACTCGTAAGCCGCCAAATTAATATAGAGTATACGCATCATCTGCTCTTGTAGTTAATAACAGATTTGGCGACCGACGATGTTATCGGCAGTTTTATAGACGGGCTTTATGCCATAACAAGTCGTGTCTGTCATCGTAATCAGCAGACATTTTTCTTGGCCACCGTAATTAAAATAAATGGAAGAAAAGCATAGGGATACATTGGTACCTTCTTTTATCATGGGGTTTGAAATATTCAGTCTGCTGGCATCAAAAGGTCCGTAAACAACAAGGGGATCGCTGTTGCTAGCGTTGATCGATTGTAGTCGGTTACAATGTAAATTTGGGTTGAAATGTTTCTGATATCTGTATTTTGGGTGGGATTTTTTTTATTTTTTTAAGCGACGTTAATCGGCCGCGTCTATTAAATTTTAATGTTGAATATCTACTCTATTTAAATCTTCTATGTCAACCTCATATTCAATTATTAACCTAATGTCATATAAATTGGCATCTTCTTTGTGCCGCTCATCGACAAACACCACGTGATCCATTCCTTCTAATTCAATTCAATTAATGCAGCAAACAGTCGTAACAGTCAAAATATTCTATACAATTCTAGCAATTAAAACAAGCGTCAGAGCTGTCTAAAACGCTTGAATATTCACAGTCGTAAGAATCACAACAATAAATACAATTTATACATTTGCCGCATTCGCTGCAAGTTGAACACTGGGTACATTTCCTACAGTTGTGACATTTGTCGCAGTCGACCGCATCTGCCACGTAATTAGATTCAACCGTGTCTTTGCAAAAGAAACAGTAGACTTTTTTTTGGTTTGTCTGTTTGTATTTAACGAAATTTAATATTTTATTAAAAATTTTAATCGGTAATCAAATCAATGGGAATAAATATTTGTTTTGGTTTATAAACTTTATTTCCGTTTTTGGTTTGTTTCACCAAGCAAATGTGATGCCTTTGACTCTGTATGTCCAGTTTCGCTTGCTCGATTATATCACGTTTCATTTCGTTTCGTTACCGTGTACAGTTAACCACGCCGCGTGAGTCGCGACTAATTTAGCGTATTCAAATTTAGTGGAAAAAGTTAAACCCATTTTACTTCTAGAGGAATCTTGAGAAATATTTTCCAGAATTTTTGGTTGCCCGGACATCGATAATCAATCTGTCGGTTTCATTTTACAAAAACGCGCCTGCGTGTCTCGGAGAATCGATATTTTTTGCAAAAAAAAACGTGCCTGCCAGTCTAGGAGATTCAAGATCTTTGGAGAAATAACAGTACTAGGGATATGCCGGGTTTTGGTGAAAATAGAAAACCGTCGTTTACCTAACCGACGGCTTTTCAAAAACTAAAAAATCGGGGTTGGCAAAATTGAAAGTTTATCTTAAAAAATGGGTGATTTTCGTTGTTTTTAGGGTTAAACTTTGCGGTTTTAAAAATTTGAAAAAAGTGTCGGGTAGGTTTAACAGGGTTTTTCAATTTGGCCAATTTCGAGTTTTGGGAATTTTGAAAACCGTCAGGTAGGTATACGACGATGTCGATTTTCGCTGGACCTGGCACTTCCCTACTACTGGCCAGTCCAAGGGTTCATCTGACACACTCAGCTCACAAGCAACACGCGCGTATTTTTGCAGAAAGTTCTTTGACGTTGTCATTGCTGCCGCATCGAGACATGAGAAAGAAAACAAGCCATTCACCGCATATAATATCCTTTACTGCGTAAGATGTATGGTGAAGGACATTATCAACAGTGCAAAAAGAAAATGTTCCTGCTGAGACTGACACCAATGATAATGTACATGCATGATTTTAATAACCACAAAGCAATGCCTACTACATGTCTATTTAAATCTGTGACATGGGACAGCTGAGCGTTAAAGGTATTGAAATCCACATTACTTGCCTGTGCAGTGAATGAAAAAGTGACTGTCTAGATGCTTACATGCATATGTTGTTAACAATGGACACGTTTTGCACATAAAATCAAGATTAACATAGATATAAAATGTTACAGTTTGGGTGAATGCCTATCAAATATGCATGTTTACAGAAGGCCACTGGAACCCATCAAAAGGCTTCTGACCCTCGGATAAAACCAATAGCATCATACTTCAACTTAATAATTCTCTATTCATCACACACAAAAAACACACAACTGTTGTCCCCCCAAAAATGTTATTTTGTGTAACACTGACTGTAAACTTAAACATTTGATGAAACACATCACCATTTTTAACTGGCAATCCTCAATTCCAAATTAACAAAAAAATGAAGGCAAAAGGTAAGCAACATGACTTACTTCTTGTTTTGTTGTCTGTAGTTACCTTTAACTTTGACCACAGACACTCTTTTCCAACACACAAACCTTCAGCAAGTTTTGTTTTAAGCAAAATCATGTTTAAAAACGAGTGTGTAGAAACCAGAAAAAATCCATAAAGTAGAGAATCTTGCTATGCATCAGCTACTGTTTGATTAAGGAGATGCGTCTTAAAGTTGGCAAAGCAGCGGAATGCATTAGCTAGACTTCTTGAATGACTTGGAATGAATAAACACACTGAAACACCAAGGAGCTCTCGTGCCAAATCCTCCATTACAGCACCTGCAACAACATAACCAAAATATGGCATTAATAGCAAATTCAAAATATTTCTGAAATACTCAGGAACATAGGAGCCAGGTCGGGGGGAGGCAGTGGCCCTCCTGAACGTATGGTGGAGAGTTGGGCCCCCTAAATGTTTTGGAACACATTGGAAAAATGGAAAAGTGTAGAGAGATTGTATTTTTCTGGCCCCCTGGTAGAATCATCTTCCTATGTGCCTGTGGAATACTGTAACAGACAAAAAAAATGGACACAACATACAAAAGAACACCCTTTTGTACTTTCTGAACATTTCACTCCTTTTGCTCTACAGGAACATGTATGTTAATCATGCTACCAGTATTTTCAAGCATCCACACACTTACAATAAATGGAATTTGTAAGTTGACATTGTGAACTGGAGTACAGTTTTTGAAAAGAATTCAGTTTACACTCACATTTCACGCAGAGTAAATGGTTTCCACTTGTGGAAAAATTTGTGACTCACATTTAACAATTGTTGCCTGTAGGGGTTCATGGAATTTTGTATACCTGAGGGGATAAGTGGTTCTCGAGGAAAAGCCGAAGATGCCATTTGCCCTGAGGGTGTACAAAACACCATGGACCCTGTCACAGCAGGCAACAATTGTTTTGTTGTACCATAGCCATAGATTTCACTGGAAACTGTCTTATGTGTAATATGTGCCGATTTTATTGCTAGATAGATTAAAACACTAGGACAAATTGAAAAACTTGAACAGGAAAAGGAAAATAACTGATTGTGATATCCTTTGTTGACTTTTTTCGGGGGGGGGAGAAATCTAGGATATGTAACATAATGGTTTACTGTAGAACCTGGGATTCATAAATCACCAAGGTTTGATTGGTTGAATTTAAGACTGAAGAACAGTCGAGAAAAGACAACCGCATGAGCATTTTATATAAACAACAAGGGCGATTGCAGCAGAAACAGTGATCAGAACATACAATGTACATGTATACCCGGCAAGATATGGGACAAAGGGGTACCCCCCGACATGTTCAATCTCTATACACACTCTAGACTATTGTTACCTAACACATCCCCTAGATGTCTGTAAAAGAATTCCCGAGTTTCCAGTCAAGCAATGACCAACACAAAGGTGGGATGGTGCTCTCCGTCCCACATCTTGCTTCATATGTGTACATGTACACATATGTAACAGAGTAGGGTAACGTCCTGAACGTCACCGCATGAGTAAGTAGCTCAAATTGAAGTTATACTTAGAGAGTCAAATTTGATGCGTCGACAGCACGGTCAAATCCACGTGCATTGCGTGGTTGCCAGAAGACAGAATCAGTGTCTTGATAAAATACCACACATCGTTACAGTGCAACGAATCTTTGTAAGGCTGTTCCAACACAAAAACGACTAAACCAGAGAATCTCCTAACCATTCATACCATAGAGAGATTTGCTGTTACGCTGTCATAAATTGCCTTGCAAAGTGGGCCCCTTCCCGTCTCGCCGCCCGTAAGTAAAACTACGGAGGCCGATAAACGACATGTCAAAGTCAACAGAAAAACCCTCTATGAATTGGTCGGCGCCCGATCTTCCCAAGGAATGGAAGCGATTCAAACAGCATTGCACATTCACATTCAAAGGCCCATTAGCTCAGAAGACTGAGGTTGAAAGAGTCAATTACCTCATGACTTATATTGGAGATAAAGGAAGAGAAGTTTACACAACTTTTCAGTGGGCAACACCTGATGAATGCAACAAGCTAGAGGCAGTTTATGCTAAATTTGAGAAATACGTGGCTCCCAGAAAGAATCAGATCCGTGCCACAATCAATTTCAACAGGCGTAAACAGCTTGAAGGAGAGAAATTTGATAGTTTTGTCACTGATCTGCGCGTGCTAGTCAAAGATTGCGGCTATGATGATGAAGAGCGCATGATAAGAGATGCCATAGTTCTTCATGCATTCAATCATGCAGTTCAAGAGAAATGCCTTGAGAAAGGAGACAAGCTGATGCTTGCCATGGCCATCAAAATTGGCCAAAACTACGAAACATCTCAAGAAAGCTTGAAAGAAATAAACAAAGATGAAGATCGTAAAGTCAACGCTGTAAAGTCAGCACATCACTCTCGAAAGTCAAGCTATATTCAGACACACAGCCAGCAAAAGCCACAACGTCAAAGAAGCAGTATCAATCCAAAGAAATCAACAAGATCTGATGCCAAACGGGGCAAAGAGAAAAAGTGCCACAAATGCGGGTATGAAGCAGATCATCGAAAATGCCCTGCTAAGAATCAAACCTGCGACTTCTGCAAGAAACCAAACCATTTTGCATCAGTTTGCAGAAGACGACTCGCAGCACATGGGATGGAAAGTGCCAACGTTCAGAGAACATCCGAAAGTGATGATTTTTTTCAGATGAAGAATACACTTATCTCATTAGCGCATTAGATGATGAATCCGCTTCTAATGAATGGTTCGAGAAAGTATGGATCAACAACAAAAATGTTGAGGTGCAGATTGACACGGGGGCAGCCCAATCCATCATGCCCCTACACATCTATGAAACGCTTGGGGACATTAAAGAGTTGAGCCCAAGTGATCGGAAGTTTGAGTCATACTCCAGCAATAAGCTGAAAGTGGAAGGGTGCACTACACTGCCCACATGCCACAAAAACGTGTGCATTGATGTGCCTTACTATGTCGTACAGGCAGAACAAAAGCCACTACTTCTCAGTGGAGATGCCAACAAGAAAGTTAGACTCATAGACAGAGTCTACGGGCTCGAGCAGTACCCTGAGCTCAAGAAAACCACTGGCACTCTTCCAGGAAAGTATTCCTTGAAAATCGACCCATCGGTAAAGCCAGTAGTGCATGGCCCCAGACGCCAGCCACAAGCTCTTATGCCAAAGATAGTCGACAAGCTGCATGAAATGGAGCGTGACAAACATATTGCAAAAGTCACTGAACCCACAGATTGGGTGAGCTCCATGGTTGTCGTCGTGAAGAATGGAGAAGGTGAGAATCTGTTCTGATCCAAAGGATCTCAACAAGGCAATTCGCCGTGAACACTACCCGATCCCATCAGTCGAAGAAGTTCTTTCGTCCATGCCAGATGCCAAGATTTTTTCTGTTATCGATGCCAAGTCTGGGTTCTTGCAGATAGAGCTTGATTGCGAGTCAAGCCTCCTCACGCCGTTTAACACTCCAATTGGTCGCTTCAGATGGCTACGTCTTCCATTTGGCATAAAAAGTGCTCCTGAAATCTTCCAGCGTGTCATGGACACAATGCTCGAGGGTATAGAGGGAGCACGAGCCATAATGGATGACACCCTGATAGCGGGTAAGCATCCTAAACACCATGACGAAGTTATGAAGGCTGTTATAACCAGAGCCACTGAGTGGAACCTAAAGCTCAACTTCGACAAATGCCACATAAGACAAACACAAGTCAAGTACGTTGGCCATCTTGTCACTGCCAGCGGATTGAAACCAGACCCTGACAAGGTCAAAGCGATGAAAGAGATGCCAGAG